CGGTGGACTAGGCCAAACCTTGCCTCTTGAAGGCATCATGATTGTCATTAGCAAGGGGCAGTTTCAGAAACGGTGCCCACGTTTTCTTCTCATCCATCCCAAGCATGGTGGCTGAATAAAAATGGCCAGTCTGTTCCAGCAGCTGCGAGGAATCCGATACCTTGTGGCACTTGTAGTAGTAGGCCAGCAGCTGGGGCATTCGGTCAATTTCCGTGAAGACTTTCACAAACAGTCGAGCCTGATCTAAGAAGCACAGATTTCACCTGTCAGTCTGTCTTGGGAAGAGAGCAAGTTCAGGCTCTGTTCTAATCGAGCCGAGATGCTTCCACCCACCCAAATGCCCGAAATCCTGAACACGGAAGCCTGGACCCGGCTCACCCCACGCCCTTGGCCCCAACAGGCCAAATGGCCGTTGGCACATACCACAGCGTCCATCCCCCAGGAGGGGGCTCTGCTTTCAGGACAAACAGGACGGGGAATAAGCCAACCCTTCCTGGAGGTTCTGGGCATTTCATAGGGAGTATCTGAGGGAGGAGAGTCTTCTCAGGGAGCGGGGAAAGCAACATCTGGCTTTACATTCCACCTTTACTTCCTCCCTCCAACCACAACGGTGACTTCTTACTTCCAAAGCCCCTAAGAGCAAGAGGTCTGCCTGGGTACCCTCTTCAGAAGCACCACACCAGCCTGGTGGGGAGGGGAGGATTTCGACAGGTACCCCGTGGCTCCCACAGAAGGGAGTCCACATTGGGACACAGTGCAAGTGGGTGATCCTGGCAACCCCCTGAGGGAGGCAGGGAGGGAGGGGGGAAGAGCCACGCTCCGTGCAGGGCCAGCCAAAGCCCGTGCTTGGCACATGGCTGCCCCCTCCTGGTAGCCCTGCAGCACAACTCCAAGAGATCCCATGGTAACTGCAGAAAGCTATTGAAGGACAGAGCTTCAAGCCTGCCCCACTGAGAGCGCTCAGGACAACAGGCCTGGAAATACGCATCGTAAGTATCAAACCTTCCAAAGCTGCAAATGGCAGGACCCCTTTAAGATGTTTAAGCTTGGGATTGCCCATCCACAAAAAGGCCTCCCGCCAGCCCCAACCTCTCCGATCCTACCCATGGTCCTTGGCCAGTGCCTTCCTCAGCGACTCTAAAGACCAAGTCAAGAAGGGCCTTGCCAACATCCCAGGTCCCAGAAGGGGCCACAATCCACCATAGGCACTACACATGGGTGGCTTCATTTTTCTATTCATTTATTGAGAGCTACAGCCAAGTCACCGGCCATGGCAGAACAAAAATACAGCCCAGATTCGAGGTCCTCAACCCTCGATGCCTGTGGGCCTCTCTGGATTTTTGAGAAAGTACTCAGGGACACGGTGCAAGTGGGTGATCCTGGCAACCCCCTGTTAAAAAACAGATTGTTATAGAGTTTCCAGCTATACCATTTACCACTGAGAGGGCAATGTGAGGGCACTCCTGAAAGACTTCCCTGAAAGTAGGGAGGCAGGACCCAAAGGACAGGATGGGGACTAATGTGCTTAGACCACAGGAAGGCAGAGGAAACAAGGGAGCCGCGGGCTCTTTCCTGGGTCACCCCAGATGGGACAATCAAAGCTGTTCAGCAATTCTAGGTTTCTACTGCACAAAACATCAATTCCACAGACCAGCAGGCTGCAAATGTCAACGGACAGGAGCCCTGCTATGAAGCAGAACCAAGAAAGCTTCTGATGTCCTTTCTCTACCCAGTGTTCTTTGCTCCCAAAGGATCGTCTCCTCCCAAAGCATCAGTGTCCTTATCTGCCGAAACCCAACCCCTGCCCCGCCCCATCCGACATTTGGGTTTACTGCCCAATTCTCCAAGCCCAGCAGCCTTCGGCTGAGATGCCAGGACCTCTTATTTTCCTGGGGATGTTAGCAATATTAACTTTACTCAATAGTCTGCAGCATCTGAACAAAATCCTCAGCTCTTACGTCTGTTGCCGCTTTAAGAAACCTGCATTAAGTGTGTGTAAAAGACATTTGCCAGGACCCTTGATGCCAATGTTCAAATGTTCCTTTCAATGCCTGTCTCATGTGCCAGCTTAGTCCAATGTCTGGAAACTTTGCAAGGTAGCTCCATTCTTTCTTGCAGAGATTTGCTAAACTCACAGCCTGTGCTTCTTTCAAACGCACCACAGGACCCTCTCAGCTAGGCCGGCTAAGCCTTCAAATCCTAATGACCTTGATTCAGCGCAGGGTCAAACTTACTTTATGATGGCACATTCTAACCTACATAAACATGTTTCCCAGCAAGCTGCCTATTGTGTAATTCTGGGTTGGATTTGCAGGGAAGGGCCTCTCTGTTTTCCAGCCCTCCCCACCTCCCCCAGGCACGCTGCATGAAGACTACACAGCCCTCTCACCAACAGACTGAGTGCTGAAAGCAGAGACGATCTGCGGGCTAGCCAAGGCTTCCAGGCGGTTCTTGAGCGCCTCCAGGTGCACACACTTCTCTGAATAGTCCGGGGTGTCCACTAGCACAGCCAGGCTGCTCTGCATGCTGGTCAGCTTGTTAGAGATTAGAGACACATCCTGGGCCCAGACAGGAGAGGAAGGCAGCCTGGTTAGACTTGGTGCTTCCAAGCAAGACCCACCCCCCACCGTTCCCTTCCCTAACTATTCCTGGACATCCTTCCTCCAGAAGAGCAGAAAAGGTTGCCCTCTCTTTCTCCTTCTTTATGCTTATTGACCTTAGAGCCAGGGGCAACAGAAATAGATCAAGAAAGTAAAACTTCAAGAGTTAAACTAGCAATGCGAGGGCATAAATTGAAATGATGTGCTAACAATCTTGTACAGTAGTTACAATGCCCAGCCGAACAATGCTTTAGTATTTTAATGGAATATATACAGCAGCACAGTTCTGTGCCAAGTTTTCAGATCAATCAAGATAAAACTCCAATGGTGATATGGAACATTTGACAGAGGAAGAAAAACAACTTTCCCATTTTCTGCTTCATATTTTTTCTTAAAATGTTTAATAAAAACAGTTTTAAAAAGTGAAGCAGAAAAGTCTATAGTGAGAGGAAGACTTTAATTTAAAAATCAAAGAAAAAAAGAAATCAACACATTTTCATGTTGAGAAAAAGCCCAAAACATAGAAAATCAGCACAGGGTCCTGAATGTCTCCTGTGTTTTTTGTTTTATTTATAGTTTTTAATGGTTTTGTTTTTTAATGGTTTTGTTTTTGTTGTTATTTTAATTGTATGCGCCACCCAGAGTCACATATGTGAGATGTGTATAATATAAATATAAATTAAATCAATCAATCAGTCAGCAAACCCTGCAAGCACCTTCACAAGCATCATTAGTAAAGTGACCCACGGATTGTAAAGAAAACCAAGATATAGGGGTTTGGGGGAAAAAATCACAATAGTTAGTGATCAGAGCACAGGTTCTCTTGGACTCTTGGCAAAGGTTGCCTGGCAATACAGGGTCATCTCTTCTGGCTTCTTGCTCCCTGTGGTGCAGCTTTCCGAAACACAGAAGCAGCAGTTCCCCAACTGCTCCTTTGCTGCCGCCTTCCCCACCCCTTTCAGACCTCCTGCAGGAACTCTCATAACCCCCAGTCAGGCCCATCTGGTCAGTCAGTGGCTACCTGCTCATCCATAAACAATTCCCTAAAGAGGCTGAATGGCCTCAACTGGCAACGACTATAATATCCCCAGACCAATGACTGCAACGTGACAGGATGGCAGGAGCTGGAGCCTCATATCCTGGTCCTGGACAAGATGTTCAGAAGCCTCTGACCATGGGAGGTGAGTCTCCCAAGTGAATGGGGCTTCAAGTTACAGGTAGTCCTCGACTTACGACAGCAACTGGGACTGGAATTTCTGTTGCTAAACGATGTGGTCGAAAAGTGCAATGGCATTGCTTAGTAACAGCAATCCCTACAGTCCTGCTTGCTGTCATTAACCAAATTCCACAGTCATTAGTCGAGGCAATTTCTTGCCAGCTTCCCACAACCAAGTCAGTGGGGAAGCCAGCAGGAAGTTGCAAGGTGACTCACAGGCAGGCCAGCAGGCAGGTAAGTGGCTGCTGCCAGGTGTGGGAGGGTGCGTGAGGGTGCGAAGAAGGTGCAGCAAGGGTCAGGGAGGGTGCACAGGGGTGTGCGAGTGGCCAGTATGGCGCAAGTGCAGAGGGGCTCAGGGACGGTATGTGAGTGGGGGAGATTTACCCCAGTGACTTGCAACCTTCCCTGCTGACTTCCCCATTGACTTTCTGGGGAAGCTGGCAGGGAAGGCTGCAAATGGCAATCACATGACCGCAAGGTATTTGGCCACGGGTTGTAAGTGCGAACGGATTGCCAAACACCCCGACCGTGATCATGTGACCCTGGGGTTGCTGGGACGGCTGGAACTCCAAGGACCAGTTGTAACCAACAATTGTTCAGCACCGTCATAACTCTGAATGGTTGCTGAACGAATGGTCGTAAACCCATCACAGTTACTGTTAATCCAGTTCCAGATGATGGAGTAAGTGGAGATTCTCTATTGCTCCAGAAGGCAGGAGCAACATCAGTGTTTAAAACTATAAGGAAGAAGGTTCAGGCTAGACATCAGGAGGAACTTTCTGACTTTATCAGCTGTCAGCCAGTGGAACAGACTGCCATATAAACTAGTGAAGTATTTTGTGTTGGAGGTTTCGAAACAGAGGTGGGATGATCATCTGTCAGAGATACTCTGGAGGATTCTGGACTAAGCAGGGGGCTGGACTGGATAACTTCTAATTCCTTCTAATACTAGGTTTCTATGAAGTCCCCAAATGGTGATAAGTTAGTTGATCTATCAAATCGATTCTCTAAGCAGCCTTTAAGCATTGGAATAATTTGTAGGTTATTGTTTGCAGCTGTAAACATAGATATACCTGTGTTTTAAATGTCTCTTCAATGTCTGCGCTGAGAGTGCTCCACTTGTCTGCTTCCTGGAGCGAGTCAACGGCTAGCTGCATTCGGGATTTCACATGGTCAAGTTGGACTAAGACCTGAAAGGAATAATAAATGTTCATCTCAAGAACACCAAAATTCCAACAACATAAAATCTCATCTGTGTTTTTTTAAAAAGCAAATGACTGTTGGAAACCAACTGTATAACAAAGCATTAATATAAATTCAGAATTCTGTTCACCCTTTTTTTAAAAAAAAGAAAGGAAAGCCCTGCTTGGAAAGGACTCCAAGAGTCCCACAAACAGAACAAGGAACTGCTCCACAAATGTTTTAAAGCCCTTTGTGAGAGTAGTCAAGCACACATTTTATGGCTGTGAATACAGCACACTGTCTATTCAACACGGGAAGTTTGTTTGTTTGTTTGTTTGTTTGTTTGTTTGATTTCTCTCCCGCCCATCTCCCCTACAATAGGGGACTCTGGGCGGGTTACAGGGAGAATAAAACTATAAATATACATAAAATACACACCATAAATACAATTAAAACAATACTAAAAACAAAAAATCCAAGAAGATGGAAAATCAGGGTGGGGACAGCCGGCCACTATGGGGCTAGCCATCTCCCTGCTTGAG